GTGATGCTACTCATTAGTGCTCTTCTGCACCTCTCCAGGTCAAACCAGGTACTTCTAAAATGCACATAATAAGTCTCTACCCAGGTTCCTGGTATGGTCTGAGAAACTGCTTGCAGTGGCTGGGGAGCAACCTGCATTCAGGTCTGGGCTTAGCAATGTCTGGGTCCTCACACTCCAAAGAGTGCCAGTGCCCACTAGGTGTTCAGAAGCACTTCCTTATTGTTTTTAAAATTATTTTCCACTGGTTTGCTGCTTGCTATCTATAAGACAATGTCGTATGCTAGCTCACTTCACCCTGACAACCTCATGATATTGGTATAGCTATTTATAAACAGAGAAACTGAGGCACAGAGAGATGATGTGACTTACCCAACACCTCATAGATCAAAAGCAATACAACAAAAGTTATACCAAAACAGTCTGGCTTGATTAACCAGTTCTTAACCACTGTGTTATACTGTACTTCAAATTTTGTTGAATAAATCTCTGAATCAACACAGAAGGAAAAAAGATACAGTGACTTTTTTTTTCATGTGTTTTTTTGCAAAGTTTGTATTAATGTGAAGAGGCTGGTCTCTTTCAAACTTTGCCTGATGCTCTTTGTTTGCTCACTAAAGGTTTTATGTTGGGAGTACTTCTCTTTCCTAAAAGCAAAGGCAGATTCTGAGGCTCAAAAGAAGTAATCTCAAGCCTAAAATTCAACCATGGTGCCTCCAGGGCAGTGGTATTCTGACTTGACTTTCCTCCAAACATCTGACACAAGGCTGGCTAGGAACTATTGAAAAGTGAAAAGCATTTCATTTACAGCAGTCTTTTCTTTGTTGAGGTTTTGCTTCTTGAAGTTTCAGTTACCCACAGTCAGCTCTGGTCCCAAATTATTACGTGGAAAATTCCAAAAACAACCAATTCATAAGTTTTGTATTGTGCACTATTCTGAGTGATAAACTCTTATAGTGTCTCACTGTGTTCTTTCTGGGACATGAATTATACCTTTGTCACAGTATTCATGCTGTATATACCACCCTCCTGATAGTTACTTTGTAGTTGCCTCAGTTACTAGATTGACTGCTGCTGTACTGCAGTACTTCTGTTCCAGTAATTCTCACACAGAAGCCTAATGCTACCTCACAAAGCCTACTCTACAGACCTCACTCTTCATCTCATCAAGTAGGCCTTGTATCATCCTACATCAACCTAAGAGGACGGGTGAGTATAGTACAATAAGCTATTTTGATATATAGGGACTGCAATTGCATAATGTTTTTATAGTCTACTGTTATAATTGCTCTATTTTATTATTAGTTATTATTAATTTCTTTTGCTTTGGTTTTTGAGACAGATACTGGCCTTGAACTTACACTGTAGCTCAGGCTGGCCTCAAACTCATGGCGATCCTTGTGTCTCAGACTCCCAAGAGTTGGGATTACAGGTGTACACTA